ATTGGAGCTGTCAGCACGCTCAGAGACAACCAGGCCTTCACGCGAGGCATGTGCATGTACACACGCGTGCACACACATACATCACTGTGATCCGGTTCCCTGATTGCTTGTCATCTCACCCTTCCCCTCGGAGGTCTCTGAGGAAGAGCAGGCCTCCTTTGAGGAGATAAATATAGTCGTAAACAAGAAAACAGGATGCGTTGGCCAGCGATTTAAAAACAAACAGGCAGGGACAGCAATTCTCAGCCATCCCGGTTGGCTGGACTCTGTTGCGAACATACTTTGCTTCCCTTCTGGAGTATCATGTGCATCGTTTCCCACCAGGCTCAGAGAGAAACGCTCTGTCCTGCTGTTTAAATCAATTAAACCTTAGTTCTGAAAGCAGAGGGGCATCCAAGATCTGACTACGGGGACAGGAATGTAAGCAAAGGGGAGCACATGAAAACAGCCCCCAAATCTCTCAAAGGGCACTAGAGACGAATGTCAATGGCCACCTCCTCACTGTTCACTCCGTGGGTTTGGCATCTAGTAGCTGTAGCCTGTTGTGTCTTGTCATTGCGTTTGGGGAAAGCCCACAGGATGTCATGCTGTGGGGAAGGCTTGCATAGCTTTGCCCCACCACTGAGCATCTTCAGTTAGGAGGCACAAATTGCTGTCAGAGTCAGGATGGTGGCACAGCAGCAGGGAGCCTGCAGAGGAAGCTTGCCATGTTTGCAGTATGCGCTGCCGGTTCTGCGGCTTGCTGGAGGACTGGGCTGCCAGGAAAGAGGGAGTCGAAGTGGTGTGTGGCCAAACAGCATGTGCGCTTGACTGCTGAGAAATGAGTTTGGGAACCAAAATAAGGGAGAGGAAACAGCCCTGGTGCGCTCCCATCCTGCGAGCTCATCAAGCATCCAGGCCAGGAAAGAGGAGCAATAGTAGATGCAGCTCTGTGCTCTTGCTTAGCAACAGGCAGGGGAAAGCAAATAAAAAATCTAGGATGTTTAACAGAATCAGGGAAAAACTGACTCATTCATTGACAGAAAGGAATGAGCCTGTGCTTGGAACTGCCTTGCAGCCACTTGATTCAAGGGCAGGTGCCATAGCTGATTGAGACCACCTGTGAGGCAGGTTTGCTGGTCTCTCCCTTATCCTTTGCTTCTCAAGCACATTTGATTTGCAGTCTGTCTGAAGCAGCTCAGGAGGGTGACTGCTCTGAGCAGCTGGGTCTTGCTCTGCAGGCCAGTACAGATGTGCAGGTAGTGCCAGACCTGTGTCCTGCCCCTGCGTGAAGGTACCTCTGGGAAGCTCCTGTGTCAGAGGTCACTTCTATAGGAAACTTAGCTGGGGAGTGGACTGTGGGAGGAAGGCTGCTTGCAGTCTCCTCTTCCTCTCCAGAAGAGCTGTGTGACTGAGCCTATTGCCTTTGTTCACTGCACAACTTATCTTGACCCTGCTCTGATTGCTGACTGTTGGAGGGCAGACACGTTTATGGGCCAGGTTATCAAGCACCTGATAACAACTGAACAACTATGGACTTCTTGCAGCTTGCTGAAGGTGGCTTCTGGAGCAAAGGGCTCCAGAGGCAAGAGGAGAGCCAGGCTCTGCGTTGGGCAGCTCTCGTTTCAGGAACAGACTTTGGATAGGGAAACCTGTTAAACCCGAGGCAGAATGTCTCCTCTCCACCACTGCCCTTGTCTTGTGTACCAGGTCCTCCCACAGTTAGCACTATCAGGGGCACGAATAGTAAGTTTGCTCTCCCAGGACGCTGTGAACAGAACGGAGGTAGGGTAGGTTGCCTTCCTCCTGTGACCGCTCCTGTCACACCCCTGTTTCCTGTGCTCCAGACTGAGAACCTTTTTTCCTGGCAGGTATACCATGCCCTGAGTTGCAGTCCCCAGCTCTGGCTTCCCAAGCTGCAGGTGCTGAAAGTTTTGTGCAGGAGAGATCTCAGCCCCATGTCAAGGGGGCTGTGAATGATAGAGGATAGAGAGCACCTTGCTTGGTTTCCTCTTTGCTATCAGCATGCCTATCTTCAGCAGAGCTGGGAGTCAAGCCCAGATCTCTTGGACCCAGCCTGATGCCCTGTCTATCCACTGGTGACCGTCTGTGATTCTTCTTCCTGCAGTAGACATTAGGGAAAGCCTTTCATAGAAGTCGGGTCTACCGTGTAGATCTTCAAGTCTGACCCCCTGCCTGGGCAGGAGA